CTTCCTCTTCTTCCACCGGAGCCTCTTTCCCGGTTTGCTGTCCGGGTTTACCAGCGGGCGTTTGTAAGTTCGTACACCGGTTTCGCAACTCTCCACCATCCACCAGTTTCGGGACCCTCTGGGATAAAGATCCTCTTCACTGCACGCCCTTTCTCTGTCAATACTAGATAAAATCCCCGTCTGTTACGGCCCAGAGCCACCCAGAGCTGTGGCTATTCCCGGCCACGTGCATTCCCCACATTTTTCCTCCCTTTCTTCAGTAAAAGTCTACAAACGCATCCATCAACCACTTCACATCTTCTTCCGCCAGTGATGCCGTCACCTGAAACCCTCTTTCATTCTCACTAATGCTCATGCTGTCTGTCGACCTTCCTTCACACACTAGGTCAATAACCAGAAATCTTCGCCTTTTCTCCACCATCTATACAACCCTGGACGGTCAGCCTTGTTCGCTTACCTGTATCCCACCATTCACCACTCCCCGCCCTCTTCTCTCTTTACCTTCTTTCCCCGTCAAACCCGAATAGATTCTCCTTCTCCTGCTCTCTCTCTAGCACAAATGTATCTATGAAGTAATAAAAAAAATAAAAAAAAGAGAAATAAATAAATTTCAATGTTTAAAAATTTTAAAATATAATATTAAATTTAAAGAAAAAGTACTTTATAAGTGGGAAAAAATGCCTGGGAATGAAACACGACTAGAAAATCGTGAATCCCAGCTTTAGAGCTGCAAATGGTGGCGTTATGTCTGCAGGTAACAGCCAGCCTGGCCGAACTGTAAATTGCTGCCAGACAGTAATTGCAACCAGATGGTTGCAATTCACAGCCATGGCTGTGAATTGCCACCAAAATGCTGTGAATCGTAGGACAGATAATTGCAATTCCTGTCCAGACAGTGGCTCTCATCCAGAGCCAATTGCTTACTAGATTTGCAGTGTGTCTATGGAGATTCCAACCATTATGGTGGTGCAAGTTCCAGCAAGATGTTGTTGGTTTATTTACGCAAGAAAAAGTTCAAAGGATTATATTCATTCTGAAGTCACCCCAATTGAGGTGGAAAAGGTTACCCATTCAGAGTTGGGTAATGAATTACCCTACTCAGTTCATTTTTTATCACCAAATATTGGGCATGATGGGCAAGATCTCCTTACCTACTGAATATGGCCTAAATATGGTAGTTTCTTACTGTTTAAACACATTTCATTTCTCTGTTGGGGCTTTGTTTCCCCAACTTTCTCTATGGAGGTTTCATGTGATTAAAAGCTTGGATTTTGTAGGTTAACGCTAGTGACGAGCGATCATCATCAACTATTGAAGCCAAAATCCTTGATGTTGTTCAGATGAACTCTGTCACAGCCAACTGCCGTCCTAGATGTTTGGTAAGTTCAATTTTCTAATCTTGTCAATAAGATCTTTTAAAAGTTTCTTGCCCTTGGTATTCTGATGATGGAACTAACTGATGTTTCTCTAGGTGATTGACGAAATAGATGGAGCTCTTGGTGATGGAAAAGGTGCTGTGGAGGTTATTTTAAAGATGGTATTTGACTTCATTTCCATTTTTGATGCTCTTATGGAGTTTATTTGTGGTACTAAAATGATTAACTTTGAGTGCTGGTATTTCTTCTTTGTGTTAGATATTGTGGAGGATTTACAAGCTTGCACCAAGTAGTTCCTGCTACTAAAAGTTTCTTGAAAACATAACCTGTTTCTGAAAACTATCCTCACTTATCCGAATCATTACTTGCTCAGAGAGTATAGAAGTATGGTAGTATTGATGAACATCTTTTTGGTAGGAATAATGCCCATAGTCATTTATTGATCCCAACTATTCAAGAATTTCTGGGTGCTTGCTGAACCACTAGGTTCTAAATTGTAGGTTTAATGTGTTTGCTTTTAACTTCTTAATTAATTCTAGAATCCTCTTAACGATATAGTACAGTAAACGTTTTTTCCTGCATTTCAATTTTCTTGATAAAGTATTCGGTTTGTAATATTTATGAGAAATAATAAAGTTAAGATTGCACTCGGGAGCCTTGTGTAGGAGATGAAAGAGGGGACCCAGATATGGTGGATTCTCTGCAGAATTTAGTGAGAAAAAGGGCTGGAGTTTTTGATGCTCAGCAGTTGGGAATGCTCAGTTAAATACTTTGCTGGGGTCAAGTATATAAAAAAAAGAGAGATCTAACAAAAGGAGAAATGATTTGTCAATTCTGTCAAATTTAATAAAATGTGTGCATATCAATATCATTCCAGTAGAGTTTCAACTGGAGTAAGTTTATACAATATTTGCACATCAGTTGTTATATCATTTCCATAAACCACCATCATAGTCCTCGGAAATGAGATTTTTCTCTCTTTCCTTTTTTCTGGATCATCTTGTGTGATTAATTCTCTGTTCCAGTTTACCACTTTCTTACTTGAAGCATGGCTAGTTTTATACTGCTGCCACATGCTGATTCAGTTAGATGTCATTGATGTAGGTCTCCGCTGACAGGAAATCTGATATTGGAAAAGAAAATCATGGAAACAAACAAGTTGGAAGGACATCCTCAAAAAGGGGGCAGAAAACCATGTCGTTGTCAAGACCTGTAAGTCTGAAATGGTCATACATTTTATGCCTGATAGTGAATATTCTCTGGTATTACAACGGATGGTCTATCTATGTAGGTAATTTGCATATGCAATGATTTATATGCACCTGCTTTGAGACCATTACGGCAGGTAGCGAAGTAAGTTTCTCTTGCAGTTTGTTAAGTCATCAAATGTAATGAGTTACTCTCATTGGGGTTGTGGATGGGTTCAACGTGGGCATAATTCTTTCTTTTCTTCTAATCAAAATGTAATTAATTTGCTTTTATTATCAGTATCTATAGTCACATGGATGATCTTTTAAGAAAGAAAGGGAAAGCACAGGGATAATCTGAATATCTATTAGTATATTTTCTGATTAAATGGCTGCTAAGAAATTTTACATGAGATGAACTTAGTCTTCCTAATCATAAACTTCTCGGTCTGGCCAAATTTTCTGCTTAAAAATTATGGTTGCAACCCTATGTTCCTTTTGTGGATAACCATAGGTAAAAGAAGGATTCTGATATTTTGGGCCGAATACTAACACATGCACACATGCATATATTTTTTAAAGAACTTGTTGTCAAGACCTTTGACATGTACCCGATAACTGTTGTAATGTAAGAGTATAAAGAAAAGATTGGTAGATAGTGGAGAAGAATGAGGGAAAGAAGAGAGCAGAAAATAATACTCCAGAAGGACTTCAATCAGAAGGATCTTTTTGTATTGAGACTTACCATGATGAAGAAACATTCTACGGAGTATAGAATACAAAAACTTTACATGGCAAAATTCCTGCAAAATATTCTCAACCGAATATGGTTACAATGGAGAAGACGACCACCAAAACTGTAGTGAGCTAACAACACAAATGACCTAACTCATTCGAGATCTGTCCTTTAAGCCTAATTCCTTTCTGATGCCGCCAAATCCTGCCACGTTGCTATTTTCTTTATCTCGATTGAAGCCACGTTGCCCAGCTTTTTATGTTTAGTTTGATTCATGTGATGTTCCAAAACACATCCCAGAATAATATTAGGGCGAAACCATCTTTTCTGCAACCCATTTTATTAACTGCATGCCCAGCAGCATTCTTGACTTCAAAAGTTCCTTATAAACATTTCAAATTGTAGTAGTTGTCACAAATCATTTGGTCTCTTGGATATTTGGGTGCGTCGCTTTCTTTCATATTTATTTCCATCAAAGAGGAAAACTTGATCCATGGACCTAAAAATATATTTAAGGTACTTCTCATCTCAAAAAGGGTACAAGTGTTACCATCTGTCCACCCAAAAGTTTTATGTGCCCACGGTTGTTACATTTGTTTAACAAGAATTCTACTTAACCGAGTCTTATCTTCAAAAGAATTTATGTTGGAAGATAAAGATACAAAATTCTTAACAGACTTTATCCTACCACCATTACCACACATTCCAACATCATTATTACAAGAGAATCTTTAGAACACACTAGAACATTTATTGACTCAAAAGATCATATTAAACTTTAGATTTTCTCAAGTGTATACAAGAAGGAAAATGCTGAATACTGAATGTAAGTTGGCCTAAGAGATCCTTATCTTTAGGGAAAGCCTACATTGGAAGATGTAGATATATAATTCTTAACAAATTTATCACCATCATTACCACACACCCCAACATCATTATTACGAGAGAACTTTTAGAACCTAATAGAACATTTACCAACTTAAGAGATCATATCACACTCTAGGTTTTTTTAGATGTACATGGGGAGAAAAATGCAAAGTACTGGGCCTAAGCTAGTCCAAGAATTCAATCTTAATCTTGGAACTGGGATAAGTATCGAAAAATCTATACAGTCCGATAATGATCTACATATTGCACTTCGTAAAGGTATAAGAGAATGCACTAAACACCCTCTTTATCATATTTCGTTGTTTGTATGATTTGATAAATGTCCACCATCCCATAAAAACTTCATCACAAGTTTAAATACTGAGTTTATTGGTAAAATAACATTTGAAACATTATATTGTGTGAGATGAAAAAATATTATGAATGTAGAAATATAGGCACTTGAAAAAAACACCAGACATGAGAAATGATGGATTTACTCAAATGTAAGAAACTGGTTGGATGCAAATAGGTCTTTACAATCAAATACAAGGCAGATAGGACAATATAAAAGGACTATACAAAGACATATGAGATAGATTACAAAGAAACATTCTCACCAATAGCTAAGATGATCACTATGTACATCTTATTGTCATTAATTGCTCATTTTGATCGGTAAGTACAATATTTTGATGTACAAAATGTCTTTGTGCATGGAGATCTTGAAAAAGAATTTACATGGATATTCTACTAGATTTTGATAAAGAACCATGACCAAATAAGGTATTTAAACTAAAGAATACCTTGTATAGACTCAAACAATTACCAAAAGTATGGTTCGACAAGTTCATCAGGATGATGATAGACTTAGGATTTATGGAGACTCAAGGAGACTACACTCTATTCATCAAGCACCTAGAAATAAGGGGCGTTACAAGTCTCCTAATATATGTTAATGACATTATTGTAACAAAAGATGAAATGAAAGAAAACTAACGCTAAAATAGTTTCTCGATAAAGAATTTGAATTTCAGGAACTTATAACTTGAAGTATTTTCTGGAAACTAAAATTGTCCGCTTAAAATTTGAGATTTTTATTTCTCAATAAAAATACAATAATGACCTATTGTGGGAATTTGCTAAGTTAGCATACAAATCAACCGACAGTCATATTGATCATAATAACAAATTGAGAATAGTAGAAGAGGATACGCCGATAAATAAGAAAGTATCACAGATTAGTTGGGCGATTGATATACCTTCTCACACGGGATCGGACATTCCCTATGTAATGAATGTTATAAGTTAATTCATGTGCAATCTAAAAGAAGTATACCTACAAATATTGCATTATCTAAAAAGGTCACCTGGAAAAGGAATTATGTACAGGAAGGTAATAAAGTACTTATAGAAGCCCATACTGATATAGATTATAAATATTAATTGTATAAAGGTCTACTACAAGATATTATACCTTCCTTGGGGGTAACCTATTCCCTGGAGAAGTAAAAAGGAAAACGTAGTTGTGAGATCAAGTGCAGAATTAAAATTCTAAGTAATGGCACAAGGGTATACATAAGAAAAATTTTGGAAGATCTTAGAAGGGGAAAAACTCTATGCGTCTATAATGTGAAAGCAAGTTAACCATGATACAGGTGGTACAGTATGACTGGATGAAATATATCAAGGTAGATAGATATTTTATCAGAAAAAAAAAAAATTGACAGTGGCTTAATATATACCTCATACATGTCTATCAATTCACAATTGGCGGATGTATTGACTAAATACTTAAGTAATTCAGCATTTCAAACTCTTATTGGCAATCTGGAGATGAACAACATGACTCCCCAAATTGATGGAGAGTGTTAGAGAAATGACGAATAAAGTTAAAAATATGAGAGTTAATTACATCTTATATAGTGAATTAGGTTAAAAGATATAAGAATAAATTATACCCAATGTAATTAATTGTGTATTTCATTTCTGTCGGAAAAAACTTGTATCTATCGGATTGTAATATTCAATAAAATCAACAGCAACCATTCTTGAAAGTTTTAGTTCATAAAATAGAAATGTTATATTATGCATAAAGATATCAAATTTCAGTAGGGATGATGAAAGGTTAAGACCAGAACTAGGTTACTCCTGCTAGAGTTTGGACCTTGGCTAGACAAGGGGTAGAATTGATTCCCTTACTTATGTTTGCTTTTCCTTATAATTGATTTTTCACTTTCTTCTCAACTCTGTTGGAAATCATAGAAATGAAATCATGTAATCTTTATGCGGCAGTAGTGGAATAGTTCTGTTTCAAGTTCTATGTTGGGCTATGTAATGTCCTTGTAGCTTAGTTTACTCCCATGTGGATATCAGACCAGGGATAGTTTCAACTGAGTGATTGCTTTTTCACAAAATATAATTGTTTAAGTTGTTAAGAACTATTGATGGAAGTTTGTCCTTTTTTTTTCTCTTCAGGGTTCATATATTTGTTCAACCAACAATAGCTCGTGTCGTAAGCAGGTGATGAATAACTACCAGTTATTGTTTCACTTGCCAACTCGTGTTTTTTTCTTTAAAATTGTCATATAAGCTTTATGATCACCATATTCATATGTTTTCTTTCAACTGAATGAAGACACAAATATAAATAACAATTACAAGTATGGCATGTGGTACATATATATATTTTCGTTATACTACAGAAAATTAGAAGTGCGAAGTAAACAGTGTAATATTAAATCAAATGATTGAAATGTTGACAACAACAGTTTGATGAAATTAGATTATTAGTCCTATTATTGCATTATTACATATGCCTTGGCCATTCCGAAATTGCCCATCCTTAAGCACGACTTGGTAAGAATTTTTTATTATATATTGATAACTTTTATGAAGAATTTCTGAATTGTATTACAGGCTTGATTATGATGGATGAATAGAATGTGCTAAACTTGTAATAAAATAGATTGCATGTGTGGTGAAGATAAGTAATATGTATGATAGGGTTGTATGCCATCGTGCACATGATGTATCTGTATATTTTTTTGCATCTTTTGTGAATGTACTTAACAATAAACAACCTACAGTTTTCACTGTTGAGAAAAATATAATACTATGTAAAAAATTATAAGCTAAATATTATATATCCAAAAAGACTATTTTTTGGCATATTATAGTATTCGACCTCCACGTGTTATGTGTTGTAACATGGTTGTTATTTCAGAACTAAAGGTAAGAACCAAAACTTTCAAATGTGTTTTGGTTTTTCTATATGGATGAATAATCAAACTTAAGCAACAAAGAAAGCACATCGACCTTGAATATGAATCTCATAATTGAGGATGAGAAAATAGTCTTGGCTAGGTTACTAATGCCGAAATGTTTATTGAAGGAATATCATAGATTGTAATTTAATCAGTTAGATTAGTCAAATCTAGTCGACCTTTCCCAAATTCAAAAATTATAATTGGGGTGTCTTCCTTGAGATGGAAGGATGCCTACTAGACTTATTCCTCTAGAAGGGTATGCTAATGGTGCAAGAAGTAGTCGCACCAGTTCAAACATGGTAGAGGATCCACGGTGTTGTCATAGCATGGGAAATCAATCTTGAGATAATTTTGAACAAAGGACACGTTGTCTGTAATCTCTAACTAGTAGTCATGGCGTCCACGGTTAATACTGTCTGTGCTTTGATCCCGATAATCCCTCCTGAAACCTCTCTGGTAAGTGCTTCCTTGTCGAAAATCTGTTGTCCCCATTCAAATCTAATTTTCCTTAATCTCACTCTAGCCAATCATGAGCACGCTTGGTACATCTTTTTGAAAGTATCATGTGTTTGATGCATGGTATGCGAGTCCTCCATGAAGTTTGGGGTCATGGCTCTATTACCAAACGATGAGGTCTTTTAGATTTTGATCCGTCACAGGGCCTATAGGACAAAATCTGAAGCTGAACTGATGATGTTCTTGCTTTTGGTTTTGCCTTTTCTTCTTAGGTTTGATTATTGGTAGCCCTTGAGTTTCATAAGAAAGAAGAAGTAAATTTATTGTCTGAAATATGATGGTTTTATTCCATTGAATATGGTCTTTGTATACTAGAAGCTACAGCTGCTTTCTAAAGTTTACCAACTGCCCTTTAGGAATATAACTATCTTTCCTTACAATAAGATCTTTTACCATACCAAACTACTTCCTACTCACATCTAGTACAGACACATGATCCAATAATAAGAAATCCAATAATAAGCAGCAGTTACCAAACAAATTTCACAACAGATAGCAAAGCTATGCATCACTACCACTGACTACTGCCCTTTTGTTCTTCTGCCTATGCTTGTAAACTATCCCAAATCTTTTATGTGTAACACCTAGTTACCTCTTCGGCAAGGGAATAGGGAAGAAGAGGTGATACCATATGGACCACCGATTCAATATTTTATCCGTAGTGGTGTGATGAACAACCTGCAAATGGATGCTTAGATAAATAAGATTTGGGCTTTAAATGATTGATTAAAGTGATCCAAATTCTTAAAAAAAAAGAAGCCCATTTATGGCTCAAATCTTATATATTTCTTTGAAAATTTTATTCAACAAGTGAAAAAGATTATGTATTCTGTATGCACATTGTCATATACTACTTGTGGCATACTAAATTAATTATAGTAACCTAACTGAGGTTGATTCCACTGTTTACCTATATTTTTTAGGGTAAAGTACATCTTAATATATTCTGCTTTTAAATTTTAGCTTCAATATATGTTTATTTTAGCAATTTTAGTACTTGTTATTTGTCCGTTGAGTAGAATATTGTTAGTTTGAATAGTTAGACAGTATGAAATTTAAGAAGTTTGACATGTAAAAAGCGCATATTTGATTATGCATTAAAAAAAATCAAAATTTTATGGTTTCAATACATGCAAACTTATCCTAAGCTTCTCAATATGGACTTTGTTTTTTCTTTTGATTTTTTTGTATTTTGGTTTATTATTTTGTTTAATTTCAGTTTTAATTTTCTTAAATTTTATTTCCTTTGGTTTTTAATCGTAAAAATTTTAAATTGAGCTATCTACCCGTCAATTTTTAAGATGCATATTGTGCACGTGTTCAAACTGACGATATTATATTACCTAACTAACTGTTAAGAACTGAAACTGTTAAAACTTTGAATCTAGAAAATCAAATGCGTTGAGTCTAGAGAACCTCTATCCACAGAGTTTCAAATCATTATTTGCCTTCTTTTTATCAAATGAATTCAAATACTTGTATCAATTTTCGGAGTCTTATTAATTGAGTCCCCGTATCTTTAACTATGAAAATTGTGAGCTAAACACTTAGATCCATACCCATATTTGATATTGGTACCTGTTTCCAAGCAACATAAAGCAAAGACAGCAGATTGTTTTCTTGTTGAGGGAGGCTTCTGATGTTTGGACAACCTCAGTTCTTGTAGGTAAGGGCAGTCTGGAGGTCGACAAATGAGGGAAGATGTTGGTGGGAGCTGAGGCTAATAGCTCAAATTCTGTACTTAACCGGTAGGCCTTCAAGGATTAGAAGCACAAGGCCCTCTTCCAAAAGATCATGATCAATGGATGTCAGGGACTTGTGAAGGATTTTTAGTTGTTGCAAATAGGCAGCATTAGTGAGGTTATGTTTGGGAGTGTTTTACGGCTTGGATTTGTGATGGAGGAGCCAAGCATGAGCTTTTTCATGGACAGGTTGCTTTCTTTCAACACATGGAGGGTAATTTCTTGTTTGGTTAAGAAGACTACGAAGAATGTTGAAAGAGATGGTTGTTTGAATCCAAGAGAGAACAAGGTAGTTAACTTGCTGCAATGTAAAGGAATCCATTTGTTTAGAGCCATTGATATGACTGGGGACTCGATTAACCTTTGATGACAGGTCAGAGAAGTTAAGGGTTTCACTAACGTAGTTCTGTATGTTAGAGATAACAAGGGAAATGTGGAAATTTTCAGCGGTCATTGAGGAGAGAGACGAGCTGGAAATGAGAGAAGGAGAAGACTCGAAGGGAGAAATCATATTAGAGATTTACTAGGATAGCTCTGATACTAAATAAAATTCTTAGAATGCTTTCACTTTGACTATATTAATTTACAAGGTAGGTGTTATAAATGAGTCCACCCTTGGGTAATATACAAATAAAGAAAATATACAAATAAAATACATTCTTTCCAAATGTATTATGTCAATGTAAATGATATCCCAAACACATAACAAAGGTACATGCTATCTAGGGATGGGGAAGACTGAATGTTGAGAAATAAAATATATGATATGGTTTTTGAATGGGAAAATTGGGGAAACAGGATCAATAACATTTGTTGACAGGTGTCCCATGTTTAACCTGTAATTTTGTTCGTACTTTCTTTCTTTCATTGCAGGGAGTGGAGGAGAGTGTTAAAAACATGATTTTTCCTATCTAAAACGATGTCAGATCTGTTTTCGTATACTTCAGTTTTAGAAACTCAAATAACTTTTTTCAAGGAAACAAAAGAAAAATAAGATTTAAGGACACCAAGAGGCTGCAACCATTGTACAAGATTAGGAAGAGGAGAGGTCAAAAAGATCAGCAATATTACATCATCCACCAAAAGGTGATCCATGAACAGGAGAGTGTTCTCTGTACTGAAGATAAAGTATTCTAAACGAGTACTCCTGATTGGTGCAAAATTGGAAGAAGATTATTCAGAGCTTTTTTTAGTTCCTCTCTTTCCAAGTGATCCAAAAGATAAAGAGAGGAATGGGGGATAAGAATTTTTTCCGATGCTAAGAGGTACTGGTATTGGTCCATGCCCAAAGTCCATCCTTGATCAAGGCACTAATCTCCCGGTGAAGATAAAGGAGGCTAAGATTAAGAGTTTAGAAACTCTAATCATTTAGGAAATGCTTTACTAAGTTGAGTGGAGGGGAAAAAGCAATTCAGAATGTAACTAATATCATCAGCTAATCTGTTACTTCTGCCACATTTACCATAATTGGTCACTGCATTTTATCATAACTCAATTCAAGAAAATCCACATATCATATCTCAAGATCCTATATCTGTAATCTAATTCATTGAAATTTTTTTACTATAGGCTCAAGTATATTTGTAACAAAGAAGGGATGAAAACAAGTTCTTCTGCCCTTGCGGCACTAGCTGATTATACTGGTGAGTTGTGTTCTTCCAACCTGTACTATTAAATTTTCCAGGCCTTGATGTGAATGTTACAATTACATATGTTTGTTTACTTGACTCTGTCCTTCATCGTTTAAATCTTCGGCCATATAACATAGAACTATTTTAATTGCTTAACCACAAATTTTTCTATTCATCTTAATCATCTTCAGCTCATCCTTTGTTATTTTAACTTTACAGAATGTGACATTCGTTCTTGCTTGAATACTCTGCAGTTTCTCAACAAGAAGAAGGAAAACCTCAATATGGTAAGAGTTTTTTCTTTATCAAGCTGTTGCATATCTTCTACACTCCACATGATCCTGGATTTTAGTAAGACATTTAAAATCTAGAGAGATGGTTGGATGTTTGTACAGAAGGGACATATCCTTCCAGGATTGCTTTTTTGGATAATGAACTTTGTCCTCTGCGTGGTATTACTCTAATAAATAATGGATTGGAATTGTTTATTATTAGCTAAAGCTTTTGGAATAGCTAGTTGCAAACAATTTAATATGGTCTCAGAGCTAGAGGTCTACTGTTTGGAACTTTTGTTGCCCCTTATTTGTAGTAGTTCATTTCAGTACAAGTTAGCTCTTATGTAAGAAAACGATAACTCGAACACAATATTAGAAGAAAATTATTAAGAACCAAAAATTGGAGATGCTGAATATCAATAATCAAATAAATATTTAATATTTGTATGTTATTATATAAATAGTCTAACAAATAACTAGGTCATGTGGGGACATTTTAATGTATAAGTACTATATTAAATCATTTTCTATTACTTTAAACTTTTAAGAAATTCGGTTTAATTGTATTATTTAACACATGGTTGTGCAAGATTTTTCTTGTTGAACATAATACCATGACTTCAATTACAAGACATGTGGTGAAAGCTATCAATTCAGAAGTGATATTTGCATGTTTGATGAGACAAGGACATGCACTTATTGAAATTGGTCACAAATTGTACCTGTATTTGTTAATTAGTTTCTTATATGGTATTTGACACATTCAAGAAGCTTGTTTTGCAGTTCACAAATAGGGACGGTCTTCATTTTCACTTACACAATTTAATTATGTTCAACTAGAGATGTGAACATATAAAATTTTTTTCATGAGAAAACATTGCCAGCTAGTTGCCTCCCTA